TCCTCTGCCTTTTCTAAACCCAGCTTGAACATCTGGCAACTCTCGCTCCATGTATTGCTGGAGTCTTCCTTAACTACAATGTTCTTTAACTACAATGTTCAAATATGCAATTAACAGCCAGGGCCAGAAACAAATAAAACTGACCATTTCACAAGCAAAAACAGAATCCACCCCCTTCAGTACAGTGCCAATTAGGTCCTGTGTATATTACCTTGATTACTGGCCATTTTCCTAGGGTTTGGGGAGCTGCTAGGGGGCGTTGCACCAGGTTGGAGAGAATTTTTCTGACTCCATGAGTCTATAACGGGCAACAGGACAACATCAGTCTCCAAACTGGAATGACTGTGACAAGGGGAATGGGATTGTGCCAAAAGAGAGGATGGCACCATATGCTAGGAACAGGCGGTGAACGCTAGAAAGGCAAACAGGGAAGGGAAGGCGTTCTTCAAATAAAAGAGGAAACACTGGGGGGCATGAAGACACATTTTCTTAGGCAAATGTGTCCTATCCAGGGGCCGCTCCATGGAATGCATTTTTAGATATTCTCCTAAAAATGACAAATGTAAAGGTGACAACCAATGTTTGAAAATATATATGCAACATATAGGTATATCTCAAAAAGGAGGCTCAGGTACAGCTTCCTGCTTAATGCCTGGTTTGTTACTGTACGGTGTGCGAAATGGGTCACACATCAGAGATGATGAGATATCAAACATAGATTTCTCAACATGCTTTTCACATAGCAAGAAAAGGAAAAGACTGCTCGAAGAAATCTCAAGTTGAAAAACATTTAGGTCGAGTTATATAAGAAACATTTCTTAACTATTTTGACACTTTCAGATATGAGAAACTGAGCTACTTGTTGTTGTTTACACATTTCTGCAATAATGTGTAAATAATGTGTAATGTGTATTATTTATTATTATTTATTTATTTACGACATTTATATGCCGCTCTTCTCATCCCGAAGGGGACTCAGAGCGGCTTACAAGGCATATATACATACAATATATTATATTATTAGCATAGTACAGTATCAGTTTTAAAATTGCTATATTGTACTATACCAACTATATTGTAATATTATTAGTAATATTACATGCAATATAAATAATGTGTACACAATAATGTGTAAATAATAAAAAAATAATGCCCAGCATTATTTTCAAATTTTTAGTTATTACATTAGGCCCAGCCATAGGTTTTTAAACATGTCGTGTAATTGTTAATGTTTATTGCTTATTTTCTGCTTATGAGTTTATTTATTGTTTTGTGTTACTGTTGCTATTGTTTATTGTTGTATTTTGGGCTCGGCCTCATGTAAGCCGCACCGAGTCCCTTGGGGAGATGGTAGTGGGGTACAAATAGTTTATTATTATTATTATTATTATTATTATTATTATTATTATTGTTATTATTAATTCTCCAATAAAAAAATAAGGAAAATCGCATTTGCTATGTAGCATAGTACGAAAGGTATTAACAAAATAGTGAACAGTAGAAAAATGTTTATAAAAATACATTTGTTTGGAGAAATTAACACCAACTGGCAGGCATGTAGCCGGGGGGGGGGGGGGGGGGGGGGGGGGGGGGGGGGGGGCTTGAGGGGCTTCAGTCCCCCCCGAAATTCTCAGGGTGGTCTGCGAGAAGGTCTTACTGGTACATTATTTAAACTGTTATGTTTATTGATTTTTTTGTCATGTCAGGAGCTACTTGGGAAACTGCAAGTCGCTTCTGGTGTGAGAGAATTGGCTGTCTGCAAGGACGTTGCCCAGGGGACACCTGGATGATTTGATGTTTTTATCATCCTTGTGGGAGGCTTCTCTCATGTCCCCGCATGGAGCTGGAGCTGATAGAGAGAGCTCATCCGCCTCTCCCCGGATTCGAACCTGCGACCTGTCGGTCTTCAGTCCTGCCCACACAGGGGTTTAACCCACTGGACTACTGCAACGCTCTCTATGTGGGGTTGCCTCTGAAGACTGCCCGGAAGCTTCAATCAGTCCAATGTGCGGCAGCCAGATTGCTAACAGGAGCGGGGTACAGAGACCATACGACCCCTCTGTTACGCCAGCTCCACTGGCTGCCGATTAGCTTCCGTGCACAATTCAAAGTGCTGGTTTTGACCTATAAAGCCCTAAACGACTCCAGCCCAGTTTACCTGTCCGAATGGATTCTCCCCTATGAACCATCAAGGTTGTTAAGATCTTCTGGAGGGGCCCTGCTCGGTCCCACCACCCTCGCAATCACGGTTGGTGGGGACGAGGGACAGGGCCTTCTCGGTGGTGGCTCCCTGGCTTTGGAACTCCCTCCCAATAGAGATTAGATCTGCTCCCTCCCTCCTGACGTTCAGGAAATTACTAAAGACCTGGCTCTGGAATGTGGCATTTGAGGACTGAACCTAGAACCACCTCCCTGTGATGAATTATGATGAACTGTGACTACGAGTATGGCTATGACCATGACTGGATTGACGATTTGGCTTAGGTAATTGTGATGATGATGTTCTATTGTACTGTATTGTACTATTTTAATTTGTAATGACTTTGCACTTTGTTGTTCTTATATATGATTGTATTTTTATATATGCTGTAAACTGACCTGAGTCCCTCATTGAGGTGAGAAGGCCGGTATAGAAAACTTCTAAATAAATAAATCATGTTTATTGATATAATGATCTGATATTGAGCATGGTGATCAGATCATTATATCAATATCAATATATCAATGTTTATTGATATAATGATCTGATCACCATGCTCAATATATCCCATATACATGGGGGTATTGGGATAAAGATTCAAAAGATTTGCTAGAGTAGATCTGAGCAGCCCCCAAATCAAACTTAGCCCCTCCGAAGGAAACTCAGCCCTCCCCACCCCCCACCCCCCGAATCAAAATCCTGGCTACGGGCCTGCCAACTGGTATACAAATGTTCATATGGAAGTTGCTCATCTGAAAGTTTGGGATGGATTAAATTTAAGATTGGGGAAAATCTCAGCCTTTGGGGTGAAGTCAAGTTTGTTGACATAATACTGAATAACTGAAACTGGTGTCTTTTAGTTTCTGCTAAATGGGATTTTTATTATGCTCCAACTGAATATGCATGAGATAAATATGAACGAGATGACTTCTTGCCCTGGAGACTTGATAGTTTTGATGCTTATTTTCATCTGTCATCCATGCCGCGGTCACGTCTAGGTTGGACTATTGCAACGCCCTGTATGTTGGCTTTCCGATGTCTACGACCCAAAAGCTCCGTATTGTTCAGAATGCGGCAGCCAGGCTACTCACAAGAACACCCATGAAATGCCACATAAGACCAGTGCTGCAACATTTACATTGGCTTCCAACTGAGTACCGTGGCCTGTATAAGATGTTAGTTCTGACCTTTAAAATTCTTTACGGCCAGGGTCCATCGTACCTTAGGGACCGCCTCTCCTTCTCCCATCATCGGAGGTCGCAACGACCAGCCCAACGTGATTTACTCTATATACCGAGTCCTAGATGAAGTGCAGACGACACCAAGTACCAGACGCAGAGCTTTTTCTATTTCTGCCCCTGCCTTATGGAATTCCTTGCCACCCTATATGAGAGCCATGTGTGACTTAGGACCTTTTACTCTCGCACTTAAGACCTGGCTTTTTACTAGAGCATTCGATCTCTGTTAATTTTTAATTTCTGTATGTATGTATTTTATCTTTTACAATTTAGCTGTAAATCGCCTAGAGCATTATCGGATAGAGGGCGATTAATAAGTAATTAAATGATGATGATGATAATCTGTCTACACTGTAAAGGCCATTTATGGATGTGCAAAAAACAATAAGCAAAAAGACAGCATATGTATTGATGCCGGAGATGATAGGAGAACACAAATAAATTAGCATAGCATTCAAAGTGACTTATGACCATTACAATTATATATCAATTACCTATCAGTTTTAATTTCTTATTCTCTATAAAACAATCAAAATGCTTTATCTCACATGCACTGCAAGTTGAAACACAAATATTTTCCCTATTTCCATTTAAAATAAAATTTGTACATACATTTTTCATTGATTGTATTTTATTTCCTATCATAATTTTATCTTAATAAGTAATATTTGACTTCTTTCATTTTTTCTTTGTATACCTGTGGGTAGCACCTTTCTTCTCACAGTTAGATTCACTTGACCGTTTCGAGCTGCATTATGCATGAGATCAATCACGTATCGATGCGTTTTGCCAGCCACTGGAATTCCATCTACGTAGACCAACTCATCACCAGGATGTAGGCGACCATCTCTGTCTGCTGAGCCCATAGCAATTACTGCTCCAATCAGAATCTAAGACATAACACAAAAGGGGTATTAAAAAAATAATTCTTAAATGGTAAAGTGCTGAAGAAATTCCATCACATTTCTTGCAATTATTATATTGAACAGGCCCGCACTACCTGTGGTCCTCCAGGTGTTTGGGAACTCCAACATTCAGAAGTTCTAACCAGCTTGTCCAGTATTTAGGAAACACCTGGAGGGCCACAGGTTGTGCAGGCCTGAAATTGAGCTTTCCTTTTCTCCAGTGGTGTTAACGCCACCCTTCTAAAACTTGTCCAATGTGGGCTAGGCAAAACTACGGTGAGGTGGATCTGTAATTGGTTAAATGGACGAACCCAGAGGGTGCTCACCAATGCTTCCTCTTCATCCTGGAAAGTAGTGACAAGTGGAGTGCCGCAGGATTCTGTCCTGGGACCGGTCCTGTTCAACATCTTTATTAATGACTTAGATGAAGGGCTAGAAGGCATGATCATCACGTTTGCAGATGACACCAAATTGGGAGGAATAGCCAATACTCCAGAGGACAGGAGCAGAATGCAAAACGATCTTGACAGATTAGAGAGATGGGCCAAAACTAACAAAATGAAGTTCAACAGTGACAAATGCAAGATACTCCACTTTAGCAGGAAAAACGAAATGCAAAGATACAGAATGGGGGACAATGCCTGGCTCGAGAGCAGTATGTGTGAAAAAGATCTTGGAGTCCTCGTGGACAACAAGTTAAACATGAGCCAACAATGTGATGTGGCGGCAAAAAAGGCCGATGGGATTTTGGCCTGCATCAATAGGAGCATAGTGTCTAGATCAGGGGTCCTCAAACTTTTTAAACCGGGGCTAGTTCACTGTCCCTCAGACCGTTGGAGGGCCGGACTAAAGTTATTTTTAAAAAAAATCAATAAAAAAATTCCTATGCACATTGCACATATCTTATTTTGCTGTGTGGAAGGGCCCTTAGAGGGGGTTCTTTCTAGCCCTCTTTAGGCAGTAATTCCAGGAGCAGAGAATGGGAAATTTTCCTATTTCTAGTCTGAACAAAATCTGGCTACCAGTATTAAAAAAACTCTAAAATTATAACTGTAAATAAAGGAACAACACTCAAACACAGGGGAACTCCAGACAAGAAACAATCAGGGCCAGCTAATCACCTCTCAACAAAGGATTCTCCCTAAAAACTGTCAGGCTATGAAATGGTAATCAAGGTGGCCAATTCAAACATTCATACCTACATCCAACAGACAAGAGTTCTTTCTCCCACCCTGGATCTTCCACAATTTTCCTAGTTAAAGGTTTTCCTCTGACATGAAGTCCAGTCGTGTCTGACTCTGGGGTGTGGTGCTCATCTGCATTTCTAAGTCGAAGAGCCGGCGTTGTCCATAGACACCTCCAAGGTCATGTGGCCGGCATGACTGCATGGAGCGCTGGGGCAGCCTCCCTTGGCTGGCTCACGCTGCCCATCGGGTAGGCCACATGGAGCAGCTGCCCTTGGCTGGCTCACGCTGCCCATCGGGCCTGACGGATAGTGTGAGCCAGACAAGGGAGGGGCACTGTGGGTGGGGGGGGGCGCTCCTCCTCCGCGGGCCGTATAAGTGCCCTTGGTGGGCCGGAAGTGGTCCGCGGGCCGTAGTTTGAGGACCCCCTGGTCTAGATCTAGGGAAGTAATGCTACCCCTCTATTCTGCTTTCGTTAGACCACACCTGGAATATTGTGTCCAATTCTGGGCACCACAATTGAAGAGAGATATTGAAAAGCTGGAATGTGTCCAGAGGAGGGCGACTAAAATGATCAAGGGTCTGGAGAACAAGCCCTATGAGGAGCGGCTTAAGGAGGGCATGTTTAGCCTGAAGAAGAGAAGGCTGAGAGGAGATATGATAGCCATGTATAAATATGTGAGAGGAAGCCACAGGGAGGAGGGAGCAAGCTTGTTTTCTGCTTCCTTGGAGACTAGGATGTGGAAAAATGGCTTCAAACTACAAGAAAGGAGATTCCATCTGAACATGAGGAAGAACTTCCTGACTGTGAGAGCCGTTCAGCAGTGGAACTCTCTGCCCCGGAGTGTGGTGGAGGCTCCTTCTTTGGAAGCTTTTAAACAGAGGCTGGATGGCCATCTGTCAGGGGTGATTTGAATGCAATATTCCTGCTTCTTGGCAGGGGGTTGGACTGGATGGCCCATGAGGTCTCTTCCAACTCTTTGATTCTATGACTTACTTTTTTGGGCAGACATATATTTAACGTCATAAGTAACAATATTCTCTCCACAGACAGTTGTAACCATTCTGAGACAGCTTGTGTCCGCCATAAAAGGGGGCAGAAGATGATATAAGGTCAAAAAAGAAAGTACCAGAGACTTTTCTGAGATTTATGCCATGCTTGATAACATCTGCAGCAGTACTTTTAAGGATTTTCAATCATTCTGCCTTAGATCCCAAAAGACTAGAAATTCATGTAGAACATGCCATTGCAAAATAAATGAATAATCCTTCCCTTTTATATGTCTGATGTACTGTTGTAAGTCATAAGTGTCACTGGTTCAAGAGAGCTATCATGGGAACGGGAAACACAATTTTGATACAATGCAACCAGCGTTTGGTGTATAACTAATGGTAGTCATTACGCTTTGTATTTCAGAATCCAATTCACATCATCGCAGGACATGGTGAATATTTTCACAAAAGCACAGTATGAGCAGTAGACAGTGTCACACTTCCAAATTACTGTATTTGTCAAATGAGACATTTCTTAGTGTCGCAAATTGAAGCATAGCATTCATTTGCTTCCATGGAGTCTGAATATTACTTTTGTTGGTCCTGTTGTTAAAGCATGGCCAAGCACCTCCTGGAAGTCAATAACTAAAGGATGTCAAGAAGGAAAAATGTAAGATGTTAAAGGCTGGAGAATAAATTCTTAGTAACTTAACACAGACTGATACACGGCGACAGCTTATAGATGGAGATGCTGATACCTTGAGAGACCTGTCTTTTTCAATGTCTGAACAAGAAAAAGTGCCATTCCAATATAACCAAAGTGATATTTTTCTGACAGATAACAAAGATATCAAAGCTACAAAGTGAAAAGTCAGGCTGAAGCCACTCACCGGCTGTCCAGGTTCATCTCCACCAAGAATTCTGAAGCCAAATCCAGATTCCATTCTCCGAAGATGAACATCCAAATCCTTGTAATCTGAACCTAGTTTAAAGGAAAATTTCATTGAATTGCAATGCTTTTTTT